GGAAGGAGAAGAGAGAGAGAGAGAGAGAGAGAGGGAAAGGAAGGAGCGACAAAGCGCGCGTGCGATTAAATAATCGAATCGATCTCGCGAGATCGATACACACGATACGAGAATTCGCCTCGAGGCCGAGGAATCGGATCGATAGACGTTCGAAAGAGAAAGAAGGAAGGAAGGAAGGAAGGAAGGAAGGAAGGAAAAACCGGTGAAAGAAGGAAGGCGCAGTGGTGGTAGTGGTGGAAGTGGTGGTGGTTCGGAACGAGAGCGCGAAAAGAGAAGTGACCTTCCCACGGAAATATATATTAATAATATCCGGCGGAAAGAAAGAAGGGAAGGAAAGAAGGAAGAAGAAGAAGAAGAGGTGGTTGTTGCGCGTCCGAGCACGGGAGAGCGAGTGCGCGGCCACCCGAACTAGATGTGCGTAAATGGAAGGTATAGGGGACATAGCCGATCATCAATCGCATAGCGAGCAATTACTGGACTCGGTCGATTCCCCGGCCGCGGTTTCTACGCATGGCCGGGGAGGAACATGCGGTGGGGGTGGCTCGAATGGGAACTGTGGCGGCGCAGGTGGAGCAGGGACAGGAGGAGGAGGAGGAGGTGGAGGAAGTGGTAGAGGAACGGTGGTCGGTGGGGGTAGCGGTAGTAGTAGTAGTGGTAGTAGTAGTAGTGGTAGTAGGCATCACCATCATCACCACCACCATCATCATCACCACCATCATCACCAACAGCTGCAACAACAACAACAACAACACCAACACCAACAACAACAACAACAGCAACAACAAACGAGCCATCATCTTCATCCACAGCAGCAGCAGCAGCATCATCATCATCATCATCATCATCGGCATCGACAACAGGAAGGAGAAGGGACGGTGGGGGCGGGAGGAGGCAGACACATCGTGGTCGTGGGTGGAAGTGGTGGTAGTGGAGGTATCGGAGGTGGAGGTGGTAGCGCAGAGGGTATGTCGTCTTCCGCGTCGCAAAGTCCCGACATCGCGTGCGCGAGCTTGCCGCTGGAACTACTGGCGGCTGGCGCGCTCGGCGTCAAGGAGGAGCGGGAGCTCGCCGCCGCGGAGGATCTGTCGTCGTCCCAGGAGCCGACGGGAGGCAGTAGCGGTGGCAGCGGTAACGGAGGCGCCGGTGCCAGTAGCAACGGGAACAGCAACAGCAGCATCGGTAGTGGTAGCAGCGGTGGTGGTGGTTGTGGTGGTGGTGGTGGTAGTGGTGGTGGTAGTGGTGGTGGTGGTGGTGTTGGCAGCAGCGGCG